GTAGCATGCATTATTCATTCAAGGCCCAAAAACTAGGATACCCGACTAATAGTGTTACGTCGAATCAAACGCCTAGTACGGCCCTAGGTTGTGGGTGCCAGGAGCAAAGCCAGTACATATTTGCATATTCTATGGAGGAAAATTCGGATATTTTCTGGTTTTATGTTTGTCAGTCCATCTGTTTACGATAACGTAACTATCAGATACCGTCGCCGTCATCAAGGAAGGCATCTGAGAATTCATTTTGGGCTTCATTGCCATATATGGAATACCCTTAATGAGAAAAACTCACGTTTTGTGATTCTTTCCTTCGAAAAAAGTCTGACCACCCAAATCAGCAACTTCCTCTAAACATAGCGGAAATGTGATTATATTGTATTTTTCAGACACTGACCTCAGTCTATTTCAATGAGTACTACCTTCCAGAGAATCTTCAGAGGCTTTGAGCTAGATGTCATTTGAAAATTACATCACCACTATCAGTCATTTTCCAGGTCACTGGAGGATAAGATAGGGGTTATGGGAGGTCGAACTGCTTTTACAAGTTTTCTCCAATCTCTTTACCCAAAAACAAGAGGATGGGCTGGGAGTCTAAGGGAAAGGTTTAATCAGCTAAGAAACTTGCCAGATTGTAGGACTAGGCAGGGATTACTATCGATGGTATATCTTTCGCTCCCTTCAGCTGGCAACTGATAAGAATCTAGAAAAGTATATTTCGGGCACAGAGACTCCACAAACTGAACACCATATGAAAGGCCTCAATATGACATCCGTTGCGGCATTTTGCATTTACTCTTTGGACATTCTGATGCCCTTGATACATAGAGGAGTTCAATCCCTCTCAATTCTTCTGTAAAGCCTCTCAGGCACGGTTTCGGTGGTCTCTTAGAGCCCATACATTAGCCCCAGCCTGAATGGCCATACGTCTGGCCAGAAGTGGATGGACAGTCCTGAGGACTGAGTCTTTTCAAGAGTTGCTATCTGAATCCTGTTCTCTCTCTTACTGTGCGCATAGAGACCTATTCAGCGTAGCACGCCCCCATGCCCCTCGGGAGGCCCCGGGGGTGCAGGCAATATGGTTATTGCCTGGGCAAAAGGATGCTGAGGAAGTTAGAGTTGGGAGGCAGTTGTGGAAACTAACAAAAGCAGGCCGCGTGGCCTAATGGTTAAGGCGTTGGTTTTCGGCACCAAAGATTTGTGCGTTCGAATCGCACCGTGGTCGTTAATAACTTTTTTTTGTTATAACTTTTTTTTGTTATGCCGCTTTGGTCAATTTTTTTTTTTTTTTTTTTTTTTTAAATTTTATCGCACATTATTAAGTAATCATCTCTATAATATTGAATTATTGATATAACTATATTAGATATTGATAGATATTCATGCTAGTATTGTCGCTACGAGTAGATATACTAAATCTCATATCATCATCAGGTATCATTAGGTCTTGATATCGTCACTAGATTATTCATATCTGTAATGATCAAGGGCTAGCCGGCAATATGACCATAAGATGGCTGCCCAACACCCATTTTAAGCAGCGCCCATGAGCGGGGGTATTCCGTTACTACCTGCGCTCCGTACAATGCTCGTTTCCGCGCCATGCTCTCTCATTTTCCCCAAGAAATTGCCAAAATATTTGATACTCATATCTCAATAACAAATCATTATAATAAATTTATAGACGGTAATTTACGCCTTCAACGTGGGAGAGAAGACATGTTTGACCTTGTTGCCGGCAACTT